TTATACGTATTTACGCCTGCATATATACGTATATACCAATCTCAATATATAATGAGCGTTTTTTAAGAACCACTGGCAGGCCCGAATACTGCTGTGTGCAAAGTGTGTTGTGCACACAATAGCCAAGCCAATACGAGTACCGCATTAAATGCCAGTCCCTATCATAGAAAATATTTTTAATACATAACAACATATTCGTTATAGTTAAGAATAAAGATGTGGGTGCTAGTCTCCAAAGACAATATTCATTATATTAGTATTAGATTATTGTATTAATGTATCTCGCAAGCGAAACTAAACCCCTTAGTTTGAGGTAGTTGTCTAAATTTTGTACAGACCACACACAGAATGCGGTTTATGTAAATAAACATTGATCTTTTGAACAGACCATTGACCGAGTTTTTCGACAAAAGCACATACTTAACTTGTTTTTAATTTTTCTTTCAATTTGTTTTCTTAGAATAGGTTCATAATTGTTTTCAGTCACTGTAACTTTCAATTTGTTTTCTTAGAAATTAGGTATGCATATAAAATTGTTATATATAAAACAGTTTTATTATAAATTCATTAATATTTTGCCAAATTAAACTTATATACCAATCTAAACTTTCATTGTACTTAAAATTTCAGACAGATATTAAATACTTCCAACAATTATAGTTAATAATAATAATAAATTTATTAAGCCACGATCATATACAGGTCTTAAATTATTTTCATAAACAATTTGTGATTGTATGAGCCTGGGAACTGAATTAGACATGACGCCGAATTAAGGGGTGTGTTCTGGTCTACTGAGAAGAGACCAGAACACATCCCTCGGTTGTGCAGTTCAAAGTTAAAAGTTATGATTATCAGGTATATTGTGGAAACTAATTTAGTAACATAATGTGTAATTAAACAAAATTAGTACTAGTAAATACTGAGCATTTCTATTCAATCTATTCATTACTAAATTTTACGGTAAGTGTAAATTGTTATGGAGTTATGACAAAATCTATAAAATACTAAATTCCTACGATTGAAAAAGAAACTTCGCTAAAAACTTTCAAAATTCACCACTACATAATTTTTAAATATAATGGTCCTCTAATTAATTCTGAAAAATATTTGTAATTATATGCAACAATAACAGTGGCAACAAATATACAGACTCTATGTCCATATTGTCCATGTATTGGTTAAGCAGCATAGGTACATAATCAAATACTTTGCGCTTCGAAGATTGTCGGGCTAAAAAGTAATTTTTACAATTGTAAGCTACAAACAAACATTTATTTTTTATTTCATACAGCTACATATTTTAAATAAGTGTATGTTTTATGAAATATACAAAGGTCATTTGTTTCAGTGAAATATATGTTAATTAAAAAAATATATTTTGACACAACACCTACACTTAATTAATTTTTTGTTAATGCGTTTTAAATAAAAACCCACACATTACTTTTGAGTAACCTATAAAGATGGGTTACTAATGTTATTTCTGATAGTGCCACAACCATAGGTTGTCTTTACATAGATAAAAAATTATAAAATCTGGTAACATAGGTCAAATTTGTCTCCGAGTTAAAAAAAAACAGACTATAGAAATCAATTAATGAACGATATGGGAGCTGGCCTCAAATTTGTCCAATTTTAGACGGTAAATTATTGTTATTAACATACTATTACGAATAATACTTAAAACTTGGATTGAAGAAATGTTGGGCTTTCATCTCATACTTAAATTACGTCACACGTACGACACGTGGATAGGCGTGGTAAAAATCTAATTTATATATTCAAAATCGATATAAGTAAAATACAAAATTTAATTTATTGCCGATTATACCGATATTCAGTTTCAATTTCAAAGTCTGTTATGTCACGTATGGGGGCCTTTCCCAGATATTGTTTAATAAAAATCTAACGAAAAATAATGGTATTTCGGTCAATTTGTTTAAAAATAAATTTTACATTGGCCTAGAAGCACGGAGACATGAAATAAATTTTGATTTCGCAGCAATGTTATTCAATTTGTTTTATGTCAAATTGCATTATAATCAAAGGATTGTAAAAACAATTACTTTTTACTCCTTTGAGTTTATTTTAAAATACAATAAATGTGATTTTCTTATATAATAATATAATATAATAATAATATATAAGCAATTTCACTTTATAAGTTCCAAACTGTAAAAGATTTTTTTAAATTGGAGCAATGTCCGGACTTTTTTTTCTTCATAATGAACAGAATTTGCTCTCGTTCTGTTTTCTATTATTATATTACTAAGAACAAGGATTACCAACCCTTTATTTTTTTTGTATTATGTTATATTTATATCAATTAACATAGTTTTAGGAATGAGATTACTACATTTATACAATATCTTTTCTAATTCTTTCCCTTATCCCTGAAAAGGATATTAACTTTTATCTTTTTATCCTTCGAAGTAACTTTGATTAAATGTAGTAAACAATATTCAATTTGACGTATTTCTATATGTAGATATGTACAATAATACATTTTTACATTGACTTGTTTGCATTCTGTCTTACATCTATAGGTAAATAGTAAAAAGCAAAGTTTTTTCTACGTTCTCGTTTCTACATTCTAAACGACGCATAAGATTTCTATAGTTTTTCAAATTAGCATTGTAGTAATTGATCTCCCTCCCATAGTTTATATGACTTACGCAAAACCAAGGTAGGTGGGCTAGTATTAATACAAGCCTCAAGTAAGAAATACATTGTATACATAAAAAGTTAATATTATCTTTTTGTAACTGTTTTAATTAAATTGAAAATATTCACTCACTTTAGATATCCCGAGTTGGAACGAGTAACAATTTTAAGTCTAAGTCGTACTAATGAATCACCAATGATTCTACCCTAAGTCCCTCCCTGCTTCTATATATTATTATGTGGTCCATAATAATATTTAGGAGTAGAATTAAAGATAAAAAAAAACCGGCACATTAACATATATATATATGATATGAAAATGCCGAAAATTCAAGAAGATATCAAATTGTGGAAAGCAGTTATAAAAATAGAAGTCTACAAATAAACCGACAAAAAACTGAACACATGCATTGCAATTCTTCTGGAATTAACAAACATCGGAACTCGCTTAAAAAAGTCTGTAAATTCAAGTCTCCATAGAAAACACAAAACTAAATATTGAAATATATGATAGATATCAAGATTAAAACTAAATAGATGGCACAAATGGATGACATGATGTCTAGATTCTCTGTGATGCAAAAATGCTCATTAAAAGCGATAAACGAGCGGTAAGACTAAGCTAACTCTATGAGTCCGAATGTTGCTAAACAAGAGAGTGTGATGAATAGAAATTGCAATTCACTGAGATAAAAAAGGGGTGTCATCAAACTTGACTAAGTCCACAATGAATAGAGACGAATTTCTTAGCATTCCATGGATTCACCGTGCTTGTGAAGGGTTAATCTTGTGGCGGAGAGGGAAACTCCGAAGAGGTCCCGGGATTTGTGATGCGAGTGTAGGTTTAAAAGGCCCTTTGGCCGATGTACGTCAACACTTGCCTTCAACGCTTCTGTTTTTCTCCCTATCTAGCAAAATCAGGAAGAAGCCTGTTCCCACTTCTCACATATAAATGAACCATATAACGATTTTTCATTAATTCGTTTATTAGTTCGTAAAAATTATTTGTTTTTATTGCATGGTCTTTAGGCATATTTGTTCCTCATAGTAAAGTGAGGTCTGCAAGTAGTTATTACAAGGAATGTTTAAAGTATACGGAATAGAAGCTGATAATGTTAGAAAGCCGTCTGCCTCGGTATGGATACGTCGATACATAAACCAGACAAGATCTCTGACCACCTGGGCTCGAACGGTCCAATAGGATCTTTTGACGATCGAATTAATTCCTGAGATGAGATAAAATAGCCAATAGTGGCGTAAAAGTATTAGAAGAGCTGACCCCAAATTCTGAAATATCCATGAAAATAATGATGATGATGACCTGCGACCCGCTGTCTTATATATAATTGAAATAAAATTATACTATACTGAATTTGTGTTTACTGTTCTTACTGTACTAAAAATCATTTCTAGTACATAACAACGTGAGTTGCAAGGCGTTTATTACTACTGGCCGAAAGGTGGTATATCGGATCAGATTGCCGTCTTCAGTGCCGTGACCACATAGACAATATCCATAAATTAGTTTTTAAATATTAAATGATATGTAGTCTTAAGGTATTTAAATGTGGGCCTAGTTGCCTGAAATTAATTAATAAATATATAAAATAAGAATTAATAGAAACGTTTTTTCAACATAATCCATACATCCAACATAATTTCAACATAAAACTATATATATATGATAAATATAATATAAATTAATCATAAAACATATAGTATTTTATGATTTTATGTTACTTCATAAACATAAAATATTATTTTTTTACTAATATAAGTAAAGTAAACATATTAGACCCAGTCAGTGGTTTTATTATATTTATGACAATCAATGGAATCAATCTTTTTCATAATAATACGTTTATAGTCTTTACAAGTTATCGTTTTTGGAGAATATTACATAATAATTAAAATCAAAAGTAAATTCAAATGTAGATACAGATAATTTTATCTATATCTCCACTTCAATTATAATATTTACTATCTAATTATCTATACTTACAGGAATAATTTTCAATAAGTATCATATATAAATCCTATAATAGTTCATAATCGCTTTTATAATAGGTATCTATTAAAAAAAGTATCATAATATCATTTTATTGATCCAAAAACAATTCAATTTATGTAAAGGCATCCATTTAGAAAAATAGTTGCTTTTAAGCATTAATAGAGCTATATACAAAGTTTTTTCAGCCTGCGAATTGAAAATATAAACTTATGATTAAGTATACAGCAAATTATGAAACTGTATTAACAAAATCATACACAAAAAAATAAAATTAAGTTGCTACTTATTCAAGGTTACATTAAGCGCAAAATGATGAACTTACGCGTGATGTGCGAGAGGCGTCGTCGTTCTTCCTCGCGTATCGTTCAGAAACACATAGTATTACAAGGGCACCGTGCGAGAGTTTGTTGTGCCGAGGCGGCTGACGACTGGCGGCTGGCTGGCTGGCGGGCTGGCGGGCTGTCGGAGGCGCTAGGGGCGAGCGCGGCGCATGGGAAGTGGAAAAAGGCTCTACCGTCGGGTACAACGTGCGACTGACGCGGCGGCCGGCAGCTACTGGAGGCGGCGCACCGTCGACCGTCGGCAGGCCGCGCAGCGCGCCGCCCACGGCTCGCCGCTTGCCGTCACGCCACTTACGCCACAATCTTTATACCACATAATATCACACCAAATAATCCTTCAAATAAATACGCAAAAATGTCTGCCCTTTCTGTCCCTGCGACAAAATTATACTTATATAACTCAATACACTTATATTTTACGTACGTGTAAATTCTGTGACTTATAGCTAGTTTAAACTACGTTGCGACGGGAGGACCGCCCCATCTGCCCACGTCTTTCAACATCCATCGAAGTGTCAAAGGTTGATGTTTACATAACATGATCTATATAGATATAGGTTTGGACGATTTTCAATATATTTCCATCCTTGCTCACTAATTAAAGGATTTACACTACAATTTTCCCGCTACTTTTGTGTGAATTGAATGAATTGCATACTAGAAGCCAAAGAGTGGGCGTACGGTGAGTGAGTCACATTCGCAGGTCGAGTCAATAACAAGAGCTTCATTTCTGAATGAAAGCTTTGGCTTCCAACATAGCTATACCTGAATACCTAGTTATCTCATGCATATATTGCATTTTAACCGTGGTACCACGAAAATGGATTTCCTATGAACAATTGTCAAAATCCTTTTAATACTCTACATATACATATAACTATACAATACTCTACATATATAATAGTAATAAACAATCCATTTTAATTTTTTCTAAATTAGTGATTCTAATTTTTAGTTTTTTAGGACGTCAATAGGCGATTAACATCAAATAATTTTTAATGGATGGTGTGATCCAGTTACTGATCCCTGAATGATGATTAAAACGCTGATAGTATTGCATTAGCATTATTTCAACCTGCATTATCCCATTCATCTCCATTGTTTAGCATCAGTCCTACGTCGATATATCCATCTAATTATAATAGTTCCATTCCAACAATTTTTTTCACCACTCCATCTAACATAGTTCTCTTTCTTCCCCATCGAGAGTCGATTATTCAAACGATATGGATGACCATAATCACTGCAACTTACCGAGCCTTCAGGCCATCATTTATACTCTTCTAAGTTTTAATTAACTTTATCACTTCTTTAATGATCATACTTCAATTATATATAACTCTACGGTGACCTAACTGAGTGCTCTGATTTTCACTAAGCAAATTGACAAGTCCATGTATTTGTATAATGTATTTGATGTGATTGGTTTCAAATCAAATCAATCAATTCATATAGGACATATTAGCCGCTTATGAACGCCGTTCTTTGTATTAATATTTTTTCTCTACCGTTTAGTAGTTACTATTAAATAGATTCTTCATTATACCACAGATAACATAATATTACATAATTATACTAATTCTAATTTTTTTATGCCTTTATGATTGATAACTGTTAACTAAATTTTTTATAGCAATGTACTATATATATATATATATAGGTGTTGAATGTCACAGATTACATACAGTAATCACAAACTTAGCATTCTCATTTTAGAATTTCTCATTTTAAATATATAGAAAACCGATTAATAAAAAAACCTTTGTTTCACTCGTATCTTGTCTCTATATCCTGAATTATAAGTATAAATGTATATCGTACTAATAAAGACAAATCTTTTAAATAACTCTTATGAATCTTTAGGAATCCTTTATTTCTGCCGTTTGATGCTTAGCATTAGATTTTATTAGTAACAGAGGTAAATTTATTTAAAATCAAGTAGGGTGATGTTGATGTTACCACTCCAATTATATAAAAAAATTATATTTTTTAATTTTGTTAATATATACAACCTCGTCGCTCGTTTTATTCATCGTCTAATAGGATCATTATGCAATTATATAGTTCGTAATAGCTACCAAACAGGCAAAGTCAACATATTCTATTATATTTTCGCAAGCTTATTTAGTTTGCTTCCTGGTTCCGTTTTGCCACCCATCCGTCATTCTGGTTCATTCATAATCTATTTTAAGACCTTGTTGGTATTTGGTGAAGGTCACTTTGTATACTTATCTACCCCGATCGAGATTAGTCTCATTTGGCCTGTTGGATAATTACTTCGCCGACAAATATTAATTAAGTGAAACCTTGATCATGCAGCCTAAATAAGTATTTTCTTGGAATATTATGTGCTATTATATGTATATATCTTGGTACAATACTTTTAATGTGTCTTGAAATTAACCCATATGTCACGAAATGGCTGATGATGAGATCAAAAATGCAACTCGCTCAATGTTCATACATGGCTTAAATCACGAAATTACTTGCGAGTTATATATAAATCTTTAAAAGAGCTACCGTTTTAAACTTTTATTACGATTGTTTACAATTTTATATATTACCTACAAAGAGATATTGAATGTGATTATCATTTTCGTAAGCTCTCAATAATTTTAAAGATGTAACAAGTGTTGTAATAGTATAGTAGTTGAAATATAGAGGATATTTCAACTTTACAAAAAAAATATTAATTGTTTATGTAATTGTAATAGCAAGCTGATGGTAAATGATAAACTTCATCTATATACATGATCAGCATTATGGACATATCGTCATCACAATAGTGATGCTTTATTCTTGTGATGTTAATCCGGAGGAATAACCAAGTCATACCTTTTATCCTGTAATTACACTGAGTTTTTGGCTTATAAATTTGCTTGGCAGCTAAAATCGGTGTGATTGTGGTATCCTATATGGATACAACTTATTTCAGTCTACTCGGTAGATACTCCGTTAAATCCGAAAGCTCACAATATATACGGTAAATATATCGTTATTTAATGCTTGTACAATGTAGTTTAGTATAAACATTAATTCCTTATATAAGTAGAACCTATAGTAAAAGGCTCCAATAGCAGCAACAGCTCTAGTAATTAAATCTTGTTTTGTAGTTACTGTAAACGAAGGCAACAGCCATCATAGCATATACATTGACACACCACCGCAGCGCACGAATCTGCTCTACTTATTAACCTTTTTGGCCTCATATTATTAGGTTGAATATCATATTAATAGAGGCGTATTCAATTGTTTGATTTTCCGACTTTCTGTACAGATAGCGAACATACTAAAATATATTATTTTCATTTCACCTAACGATCTGAAATTACAAATATCTCTATAATCTTCTAGCAATTTGTCTCATTCACTCATAAGTTCATAACACACTCAAGAACAGATGCACGCACCCTCAAATATCTATTCTAGGGTAGCCGAAACGGACTGTGACTGTGACTCCTTAAAGCCCTATGCTACTACCGATTTATTAGCGAAATAGTCCCTAAACCGTCCTCATTGAAAATGCTCCAATCGTAACAGGGTCCCATCTGACTGGATCTACTACTGTGAGGCCAGGTATAGTCAATTATTATGATGCCGCACTAGTAAGGCGTTATATATAGTTATTTAAAAATTTATATAAAAATATTTCTCTTGGTCATTTCATAACTTGAAAACAACTTATTCGATTTAAATCATTTTTATTTTTTATATATCTTTCTAGAAGCTTCTTAAGAAACAAGAAGAATTGGAAAATGGTATAAAATATAACGACTGTTTTAACATAATGTCAACCATTTGTGAAAATGTAACAAATAGATAGACAGGCACACTACATCATTTATAAAACTAAAACATTTTAAATTAATTCTTTATCTATTTTAAATCAAATCTGTCTACGTGTTCGAAATTTGTTCTAGAGTTGAAAGGTATCATGCTCATAAGACCAACTCAATAGTGGATTTAAGATTTTTTATGTCCTTACCAAGTTCAATATTCAATTTTGTTGAGTAGCTTAACTGAAACACCATAGCAAATACTTCTCTAATTCTCCGTTTCGTGGGACATGTCAAGTGTTATACCAACTTTAAAATCACCGGCACCCGCTAATACCCCAATTTGATCCCATCTAGGATAAATATTTTTTAGATTAATTATATTTTTAAAATATTGTATTTGCAAAACTTTAAGTAGACTAATAATATATAAGGCCCTATAGACCAGGGATTTAGTGTGAGATGTAGAAATCCATATGTTATGTAATATTAAAAAGATGTAGTTTCCAAATTCTAATTAAGGATTTATATTTGTTATGCCGTATCTTAGACCATAATATAATAACACAAATTGTATGACTGTTCTTCCGTAGTAGTCAGAGGCAAACATCGTGGTGAACATAGTATATATTTAACCCTCATTTCACAGTGTATTGAAATTTCAACACGGCAAAGAGCGCGTCTGTCGGATTAATTTTCTTTTTATCGATCTTTCAATCATCGGACAGCCTACCAGAAATATAAATAGACATATAGTTTATTTATATGATATTATTATATAATTGGTATTGTATATTTGACATTGTCCACACTCTTGTGAATTCGACACATCAAAATAAAAAGTTTTGCAAAAAATATTAAATGTTGGATATTATCATTTCCAGAAACCATCGAAAACGAAGCATGTAAATCTTTCCAGATATCCAAATGACGCTAATCTTCGGACAATTCTTACATCCGTTGTGATTCGTATCGACGATAAAGCTTACATTCTGCCAAATGTGCTAAATGTATATTCGCTTCCCCTCTGAAAAGTTCTCAGCGTGGGCAGATGAAGCTTCCGAATTATTTTGACTTTTTTTCGTAGAGTCGTATTGAGTAAATGTTTGTGATGTTACAACTTCAGTTTTAACACCAAATCTCCGTAAAATCACCTTATACCGTTGAAGTTTTAATAACATCCACTGTAATATTTTATGTAATCGGTAAGTAATTCTGTTTTGTGTAATAGGCTAAAAGTTCTATTATGCTAAAATAATGAAAAAGTTATATATTTTTTAATATTTACATCAGTTCTATAATAGATTCACTAGAATTCCTACAAAGTTAGGATAAAAATTCCTAAAGATTATAACTGTCAATTACAGACTTTAACAACACCAATAATATTGCTGCTTATGTAGATATTACCTATTTACAGATTTGCGTTTAAATGTAGGTACAATATATTACTTATTAATAATTTATACTATATCATTCCTATCATTATCTGCGTTTCAGTATAAAAATGCGCAGTCCCGATGCTAACACAGGGGGAGGCCCTATGGCACTACTCGCGACAAGCAGTGCTTGACGCGTCCTAGACGTAGTGGAAACGAGCCAAAATGAAGGTCGCGATGTCATTACAGCATCCCGTGCTGTTATGTCACTATAATATGTAATACAAATATAAACTAGCCTCCATATTCTTCATAAAGATATTTTCAAATTCTTATGCTTGCGGCCACCTCCCCTGTTTAAAAAGTTTGCGTTGTGTCGGATTAGATTATCGAGGACGTCTGACGATAACTTCGAAATATAGTAACTACCCAACCGGTCATAATATAAGTTCGACAACCAGTACTTGGTTGCAGGTTATTTGTCAGACTGCAATGACAGTGAACCTGTAACGAAACACTGGTTTCTCAAACTTATCCGGAACTGTAGGACTACCGACAACTTATTTACATTTTGAATACCTTTATTGCCGTTATCATACCGTCCGATATAACACATACTTGATATCCACATTGTCCAATCATTACTATACCAATAATGAGTGTTAATCAGAATTTACCACGAGCTTATGATAACTATGATACGCTTGTGGTAAATTATGATTTCACCGATGTGTATATTCAATACTGAAATACGTAGTTCTGCTACATAGAAAATATATAAGATTACGATTTTAACACTTAAAATCAAAGATAATGCGATATTATTAGTTATTATTGCATAGTATTATGGTAAATAACGATCAACAAAAAAAAAGAAAACTATGTACTTTAAGTTAATACAAAACTGCGATTATATTATAATTTTAATTTGTCACCACTGAATTTCTCCTCCTGTTTAACTCGTTTTATCCGCTAAAAATTTCAATTTTCTATTTGACTGCTTCCCCATGTTGATCTTTTTTAACGTGAGGAAAATATTCAAAAGAGGTTTCATTTGTTTCAGACGCAACTGGGTTACGTGACTTTTTCTCGTTAAAAGGGTTTAATTGATCGTTTATATAAAATGTATTATACATATATATTAAAATGTATGTAATTTTATGACTAATTTTATTTACTTTATTAATATCAACTAGCTAATGTATCTAGGTACATTTTCAAATTGATAGTATACACGCGAAATTGCAACTTCCTACACCAAAATCACTCTTCCCAAATATTTTAGAAATATCCTAAAGTAAAAATATTAAAATGAAAAATGTTTTGTTCCGTCATTGCTTATTATTATATTTATATTATTGTTAAGTTTCATTAAAATCCATTCAGTAGGTTTTCCCTGAAATAGTAACAAACATCCATTCATACACACTCATACAATTATTCCGCATTTATAGTATTAGTAAGATATTTTAAATTAAACAAAATCTGTAATAATTTTGTAAATGTCACCAGTTCATGATAAGTATAGAAAACAGAATATAATAAACGAACTTCAAGGTATAAACAATGATAAATTGTGAATAAAATAATAATGTATAGTACTAATACGATAATACTGCTATCGATATATCGATAATAAATATATGTATAATGTTTCATTAGTGTCTATTACAGATAGGTCAGCGTACAAACTGTGAGCGCATGAAGCGTGTGAATAACCACTGCGTAACCCCCTCCCTTGTTAATAGCTCGAACAAGCAGACCTTTCTCTGTTGACGGACAGTGACATAGTGACCGCGTGCCACTCGACTGCTAGGAGGTCTCAGAACATGCGGCACAACACAATTATAGTGCCAATAGTGATCGTAACATACCACCTTGCTTTCACGCTTACAATGACTACTTCGACGTCGCCGACGCCATTGATCTCACAGCGCCGCACCAAACCTGACCTAACTTTCGCGGAGAACGTTTACGTCAAACTATCAGATGCCTGTAAGTAAACACTCTTCATCTCTAAGCATCCAAATATGTATATTATTCTTGACAATGATAATTAAAAAGACTTTGTTTTTTCACAGGTAGGGCAATCATGGACCTGCGCTTTAACTCATTGACCGGTCAAGCCAATCTAATGAAAACAATGAAAATCATCCACTTGGATGGAAATACTGTTCGTTCCTTTACTATTGATACAGCTTTCGAGGCTTTGACTCAACCCAAAATTTTTGATATAACAAAACAGACAAAGATTATCATACATGGATACAAAGACAATTCACAATCAGTCGTGCCATTACAATTGGCGCAAGCCTACAATGAAAAGAAAATGTTCAACGTACTACTTGTTGATGCCGAGGAAATGTTGAATAAGTGGTATATTTTTTCTGTGTATAATTCCCGTCTGGTGGGCAAGAGACTAGCTAATCTTTTAGCCAATTTAGAACATTTTGGCGCTAACGCTGATGACTTCCACATACTAGGTATAAGTCTTGGAGCACACATTGCAGGCTGGACAGGAAAATACTTTAGGCTTTATAAATCTCGGAGTATAGGACGAATAACTGGATTAGATCCTGCCGGTCCTTGCTTTTCTTATGCTTTCAGTGATCAAAGATTGGATAAAATGGATGCTAGGTATGTGGATGTTATACATTCAAATAGATTAATACAAGGAGTTATTGAATCATTGGGGCATGCAGATTTTTACATTAATGGTGGGGGACCAAACCAACCAGGATGTTTTATGCCAACATGTAGCCATTTGAGAGCAGCACAAGTTTATACTGAAAGTATTAGAAATCCAAAATCATTTGTGGGTATACGATGTGAAAATTATAAACATTTTTTAGAAAATAGATGTGGAACAAATGAATATGCAGTATTGGGATATGGATCATCACTAGAAAATCGAGGCTTGTATTATTTAAGGACTTCAAGCTCATCTCCATACGGTCTCGGTATGGCGGGTACAGAGTCAACAGAACCAAGTGCCGACAGCTGGTTACGGACATTAAATATGTAATTTAAAAAGTGTTTAGTGTTGCCATACTTTACAAGTAATAAAAATATACTACATTCATTTATGTTGTATAACCATATCCAAATTGCCAATCTATACGTAACTCAACTTTATCAAGTGATTTATTTTTAAACATAAATAATGATTTATAACATTAGTCATTACAACATTTTTATATATATAAATATATAAAGTGTGAATACCAGTGTTATGAACAGTTGTTAACAATATTGTAATACAAATAATAGAGAGAGCAAAAAATATATTTTACAATTAGGTAGATTGCGTCACAGTTTCATAACTGATCTTGTAAACCGCGACGAATGTAAAGTGGCATTAAAGTCGCGGAACAGTGCAATTTGGCATAAATTCGTCACTTCATTAATAAATAAAGTCACTAGATCATATTTATTGCATTGGCATAAGATTCATTTCATCCTTATTTTACCTAATAAAATAGTCATAGTTTAGTAATACACCAAATCTGTGACTAATGACTAAGGTAAGTAAAAATATTATAAATCTTAGTGATTTACCTAATTTAACTAAGTTTCTTTCAGCAACTTTAGATATGGTAGATTAAAATAATATATTATAGTTTAATTTAAGACTATGTGATTATTGTGAGTCGTAAATAATCCATTATTTTGTTTCGTATAGTACTAATACGCCTACTGAAGTTAGACTAACCAGCGCAGTGTATTATTATTTTGTAGAACTTCGATATAATATTTTTAAGGGAAGTCAATAGTGACATATTAATTTATTTTACTTTATATCGATACTAGAATACTTTATTCCAAGTAAGACTGTTGACTAAAATTGAATCAAAATATTGCTTTACCTACAGTGTATGTACAAGTATTTTATATTTAAATTTATACATACTCTAACGTACGTACGTAAAGCAAAGCTCAATTCGGAAATCTATTTTTAGACGAATGCTATAATTATCATAACATAAAAACTATAAATATATAAAACTATAATTGAGGCTATCCATCTTCAAAGCCAGTTCTTTACATAGTATCTATATAATATAGGTAAACTGAGCGCAGAAGGCGTCTTCTGTTCACATGGGATACATCCGTCACTATTTCACTGTCACTATATCACTATATCATAATATTACAGTATATACTTAAACTTTTGCTTCCTTATAATATAATTCCAGCTAACCGATCAATAACGCTAGGTATCTTGACATTCAATTATAACGTGATATTATCATAATTATACGTCATCACTATATCTAAATACTAAAATAATATAGTTATTTCCCATAAATTACAATCTAAATTTACATATTTACTAATTATCATATTATAGTCTTTACTATAGGTAAAAAATGCTTATGCTTTTATTATATATACATATGTATATATAATAAATATAATAAGCATATGGATGCATAAGCATCCTTTTGCTGATTTATTATATGTATTATACATTGTCGGTAACATCAAATCAACAAATCTATTTCAATTTTCTTTATCACCAACTACTGAAGCTTGTTTGTCATTTTAATAAAGGTATACAACGCAATCGGAACCTTTCCTTAACGAGGGTGACATTTAAACAACTGGCTCATAACTCATAGCGCTTGTAAATATCTATTTCTATGTAACAAATACTTATTTATGTATATTAATACGCACACACGAACAGCCGTGTGCTGTGAATGGTTATTACACACGCCCACTTGAGTTTTATGAAATAAATATATAAGAACAAAACACAAGCACTAAACAGTATAGTCAATAACTTTGTTTAAAAACAATTAAAATTATAATCAGAAATCCTTTGTATTACGGTTAATACTAACTACATAATTCTAAGCTTCAAGTATAAACAATTTCTCAGTTGAGTTCATGTTCCAATTTAACCTCCCTTTCAAAAATGAATTTATAACTTAATAAAGATATTAACATTCACTTTATATATAATTTCTTTAAGTAAAGTATTTTAAGAATAAGCCATAAATCAGACTAAGTGTAGATATAATGGTGATATACAGTGCACAGGCTTAGATGCCTGTGCACTGTTTGGTATAGAGACAACGCATCCACCTTGTAGATATCTGGCTGGATTGCCAAATTCTGAAAGTCAAACATTTTTAGTCCTTTCCATTAACAACATCCAAGCATACGCAAGTCTCTACAGCAGTCAACCTACTTTTTTGAATGGAATATAATGGGATTTTGAAAAGATATTTACGGAAGCTTTAAACAAAGAAATTTACACTTAGGTATATCTATCTGTGGTTTAAGTATGTGTCTTAATTTATTTAGGCCGACTAGTAAAACATTAAAATACTCTACTATATTTATCTCTAATACGTATGGCCCGGAGCGAAATAAGCTTTTTAAGTTTTATAGAGCTACAGTTTTCATCGGTTATATAGTTATTGAACTGTGGTGACTTTTTCAACATTAAGTCACCAGAAGAATCGTGTGACCTTTGCCAACCCTGAGAAAACCTTTTTATGTCCTTTTTACAGAAATACCGTCACAGGCTCCTTTATGGTAAACATACAAAATTTTTATTTCATATTTAAAACGTTATTGTTATACGGTGTCGTTAATAAACAAATACATGTATGAGTAAGTTAGCACAAGGTATTTTGTCTAAGTGACGCTAATTACACGATTCTAGAAAAAATAGGTATACGCTACATCTCATATTTACTTATATAAAATATTATAGCCAAGGTGCTAATAAAAATAATTGATAATTAAATGACGTGCTCAAAAAAGCGCTAAAATAATGCTTTAATGTAGGAGAAATTAGGAAATGTGTATCAATAATAATATCAAAAATAATCCAAAAGAGGGCCCAAAGTCAATAGAAAATGTTATATCATATAAACTTAATAATTGCAACATAGATGTTCTTAAATTGACAGGTCCATTTCAGCTGCGAGTAGTAAATAAGTGAGTGATATCTCAAGGGGATGGTTAAAGTAGTAGAGGAACTTAATCGCAGCACAAGAAAGTCGAGACATTAAACGGAGTTTTGTTGTACCGTAACCTCACCCGCTCACCCACTACAACACCATATCGTAAACATCTTCCTTCGTGGACACCACTGCGTTGTTTTAATCTGATAAATATTATATAGGCGTCACATTAACGCTTACTTTGTCATCTTTATTTCATTCACAGGTTAATAATATATCCTTAATATCTCACTATTTAAATTAAGCCATTAAGCAAATTATTTAGTAAGTCATGTATCAGTTTGATGGCCGAGAATTAACAGTGAATATACAGGATACGGAGGTATAACACATATTAATCGTAAAGAATGGCAACTCATAGCTGTTACCACGAGCGTGACGTTTCAAAATATTGCCGATAGGGCAAGACAGGCAGCCAGCTTGTTTGCTATTCCAGTTACAACTGTATTGTTCACCTAATTTGTTATTATTATACATGTATTATAAACTGGCACAAGTATGCCTACCGCAAAATAGTAAGTACAGAACCGCACGTCACCCACATGCGAATGTATTATAAGTGAATTCTTATAATCTTCATGTTTGCCCAAGGGATAAGTTGACAAAGTCTTATAGTAATGTGAAACGCCGAATAAAAAATACTGGTTTAAATTTATGAATAATATGAAAATGTAATCGGTGTAGTAATTTAGTCATTAGTAATTTATAGTAATTTATATCATATACAAAGCTTTTATTATAGAAAGACATACTTAAAGTAGAAACAGATCTTATTTCAGATACTTGTGAACCAAACTGCGAACCAATTTGTTGTTAAACACCTAATATGGTATTGATATTTGTTGATAAGTGAATGCAATCATTCACTTATTGACTATTAATAACGAAAAATAAAAATATTGGGGATAACCATGAATATTCATAGCATTGCCATGTTATCATTTGGTTGTAGCGATGCGTTGTACGAGGAAACAATCAGCCCTTTTGTACCCAATTACAGAGTATTCTTTAGCAATGTATACAATGTACAGTTTTTTTTTTGTTTTTCTACGGAAGAGCACCATTATGATCCATTGTTACAAAGTACAGAAGTGGCGGAAAAATATACCTATCTTACAAGGAACGGGGTACTTGCGACACTTTTAGCTTTTCGCGGTTGTCACAAATCTTTCACGTGGGTTCATCGTATGTACGATGAACCCACGTGAAAGATTTGTTAGAAGATAGGTAGATAGATAAAAATAGTATTTACGATAATAACACACACATACACAAGGCACACACATAACTTTTCAAACTACATTATTTAGATAATAAATTATCATCATCAACTTTGTTATGAACCTCAGCATTAACAAATAAAATAATATAACAAATATTTTGTATCGTAAACGTCATCATATTATTATTATATATGAAACATGACTACAAAGCGCCCAGATACATCAATCAAACATCAACTCTAAAAGCATTAAGTAGATATTATATAATACAAGCAAAGTGTACAACAGTGGGCATTATTACTTAAGGAGAATGAAAATTATGACTACTAGTTGTAATATGACAACTTATGAATAATGTAAAAGTATAATAAACATGTGCACGTGAATAAACATTAAAATTGCATTTTAATATCGAAACGGACTGTAATTTTCATCACGCAATGGCCTGCAGAATTTTGTAAACATTGAATCGATTAAACACCAATTCCACTTTTGATCGCAAATATATTAATTTTCAATGGATTTGTAGTTTTCAAAGTTGAACTATGTATACTTATGCAGTGGTATGAAAGTAAAGCCACTTTTTATTATATATATAGAATACATAACACATTTTTAGATACATACAGTACTTCTTCGACGTAATAAAATAAATTGTACCGCGTAAAACATATCAATATTATTACCCGATGTAGATAATCAAAATACGTAAAGTCTCGTAAATAAAATAGTACCTATTTTAAATTAGAGTATTATCATTACTAGTTTTGAAAATGTTCAGTTTAATCTAATCCATTTTAGTAAGTTTAAATAGTAATAAA